GTCATTTCGTCCTTTGAGCTGTCGTGAAAAGTGGAGTGTTATCTTGAACATTCGCATGCGTGTGGACGTCTTTTTTTGTTTCTCCCGATAGACTCCTAGTCGTAGAAGAATTTGAAATGTGGGAGGTTTATGTCTGACTCTTTCCGGGTGAGCTGGTTGGCTCGTTGATTTGCAGTGTAAAGATCATCACAGAGATGAGTCACCACAGCTCAGCTTCACAGCCACCTCCTCTGTTGCCCTTGTGGAAATGTAAATTCGCACCCACTGCTGGGGATCAGCCCCAGGGGCCACCCGTGGACAGAGTTCACTCCTTTTGAGGACAGCACAGGCTGAGAATGGCAGGTACCAGCAGGCACCTGAAATGTGTTTAATCCAGTCACAATGTATTGGACACTTTTTCTGTGCTTGGCCCTGGATTTCCCAGCTATAAGATAGCTGGCTGAACTTGGCCCAAACCCCAGTTTCATGGCCTTGAACCTACACCACCACCCCCTTTTCTTCTTATTTTTTTGCAAATTCCTGACCTTACTTCCTTTAGATCCTGCCCCCAGACCTGTATCTGAACCTGTCTTTTTGGTTCCAGACAATGTGCGTTTCTGCAGAAATCTACTTGCACGTGATATGTCATGGATGTAGTAACTCAAAGGTTTGGGCAGACCTCCACTCTGGGGGTGGGGGCTTTGTGGAAAAGATCCCACCACATGCCACGGAGAGGGAGGGACAAGCCAGCCCGTCCACCTGGTGCTTCCCTCCTAGGGAGTCGCCTCCCTCTTCCCCCTACCCAGTCTTCTCCAGCTCTTTTGGTATTTGATAAATAACGTTTTCTCCATGCTGCTACTTAGCCTTTGTTATAAAGGCAGCATCCTTACTTCTTTTTCACAGTTCATTGTGTTCATTGGTTCCGAACATTACTTTTTCTCATAAATTTGTTGATTAATAAACCTTTCTTATTATAGTTACTCTAGGAGAATTTGATAGTCAAGCAAATTTAGGGAAATTTGGTGACTGGTTGAAATAATTATTAGAGAGGGATGCAGATGTTCTGTGTTCTAAGTGGGCTTGTTAACCAGATTGGAAATTACTCTTTATGTCTCCTCTGGTTGTATAAAGCTTCTGGGTTAGAATATTATTCTTTTCTACTTCTACTGTCAAAGCCCCACGAGGCCAGAACCCTTCAGTGCAGTTCAACAGCTCTTTATTGAGCACCAGTTATCTGCAAAGCACCATGTTTATGATAAGCCACTAACTCCTATTTAGCCTACAAAACCCAGCCCAGAAGTCCCTATTTCCTGGAAGCCTTCTCTGATTGCTACCCCTACCCTTCTTCCCTTTCCCAGAGTTAATAATTCTCTCTCTCTTCTCAGTGACCTTTACATCCTGTTTGGACATCTGTTTTGTACTGTTCTGTCATTTTTTAAATGCCAGCCTCTCTTACTAGATGGAGTCTTTGAACCTGGAGACTCTGTCTCATCCACATTCTTATTTCCAGCACCCAGCATAGGCTTTAATGATCATTTGTCAAGTTTTGAATGGATGCATGAGAAAACCTTCAAAGCCACCCTATGACATGAGCATTTCATGGAGGTTTATTGGACAAAGATGTGGGTCTGGCCTGAGGCCGTTCTCTCTCTCCCGCACTGTTGCGTGGCCTCCCGTCTCTCTGCTCCTGCTTCTTCTCCTGCCTTCCGTTCTCAGCTCAGTCACTCCTCTGCCCCGAACTCTCCAGTAGCTTCTGTCTCACTCCAAGGAACAGCCAAGGCTTTGCATGGGCCCCCAAAGCTCTGGGTACTCTGACATCCAGGACCTCCCAGACCCCATCTCCTCCCATCGCCGACCCCAGCGTGCACACGCTGCTCAAGCTGCATGCAACTGCCTGCTCCTCCTGGAACCTGCTAGAAGCTTCGCTGTCAGAGCCTCCGATCTTGCTTTGCCTCTGCCTATCATGTCCTTCACACACACTTGCATGGCTCACGCCTTTACTTCCTCGGGTCTTTTCTTGAATGTCACCTTCTCCATGATGACTTATCTGAATACCCTCTTCCCCAACAGTCCCGATTCCTTTTCCTCACTTCATTCTTATTTAGAGCAATTATCACCTTTAATATATTACATATAATTGGTTTATGTTGTTTCTCTGTCTCCCTCACTGAAAATAAGCTCTATAAAGGCAGGTGGTTTTGGTTCCTTTTTTTTTTTCCCACCAAGTCACCCCCAAGGCCTAGAAGAGCCAACCCATGGTGTTATATTTATCAGGCACTTTTCTGAGCACTTTACACATTATAATTGACTTAATCCCCTCGACAGCTCTGGGAGGTGGCCGCTGATGTATTCTTCATTTTACAGTTGAGGAAACTGAGGCAAAGAAAAATTACGGAGCTAGCCAAGAGCATTCAGCTGCTAGATGGAGAGGCTGAGATTCAAACCCCAGCGGTTCGAGCCCCAAACCCTTATGCTTTTCTGCATCTTAGCAAGTATTTTATTGAATGAACAAATGAACGAGTGAGTGAGCAAACAGGGAGACAAGGCGTGTCGGCATTGCCCTGATAGCTGGTGCTGAGGCTGAATGAAACAGAGGACCTCCAGCTTTCTGCGAGCACCCAGTGGGGCTGGCACCTGGGGGTGAGAAGAGGCTTGTGACGGGCCGCTGCGTCAGTTGTGCCCTCCAAGCAGCTGGGCAAAGGGATGCCCCTTGTGGGCGATTGTCATATATAATCCAGGCAACTCACCTTCTCGCTCTGGACCCTGGCAGCAAATAAGGGTCTTCCTTAGAATGTTATCTTTAACATCTGTAGGTACCTTCTTAAGAGTCACGTCTTTTTTTTTAATCTGACAGGAGTTATGTAAGGACAAGTGATATTTTCTCCATTTTCGATGTGAAAGTGGGCAGAGAGAGCTTGAGGGGCAGCTATGAAGTCTCCTAGCTGGGGGCCAGAATCATAACTGAGATCCCCACTCCCTCCTGCCTTACCTGGTGTCATAGCGACTAAGGACACCTTCAGGCCTCCATCTGTTCAATTTTATCACCTTCAGGCTTTCCAGATGGTTCACCAAACCTTAAGAAGGGCCTGCTGCTCTTGGCACCATTTCTTTTTTTTGTTTTTAATTTATTTGATTGAAGCTTCGTTGATTTACATTGTTGTGTTAGTTTCTGGTGTACAGCAAAGTGATGCCATTATACATACATATAATAGTCTGCATCTGCTAATCCCAAGCTCCCAATCCCTCCTTCTTCCGCCCACCTCCCCCTTGGCGACCAGCAGTCTACTCTCTTTCTGTGAGTCTGTTTCTGTTTCATAGATAAGTTCATTTGTGTCATATTTTAGATTCCACATATAAATGACATCATATGGTATTTGTCTTTGTCTGACTTACTTCACTTAGTATGATAACCTCTAGGTCCATCCATATTGTTGCAAATGGCATTATTTCATTCTTTTTCGTGGCTGAGTAGTATTCCTCTATCTGTATCCATATCTACCTATCTATCGTCCAACCACAATTTCTTTATCCATTCATCTGTCGATGGACACGTAGGTTGCTTCCATGTCTTGGCTGTTGTAAATAGTGCTGCTGTGAACACAGGGGTGCATATATATTTTTGAATTAGTGTTTTCTCCAGATATAGGCCCAGGAATGGGATAGCTGGATCGTATGGCAACTCTAGTTTTTTGAGTAACCTCCATACTGTTTTTCATAGCCGCTGCACCCAGTATACATTCTCACTGACATATTTTCACTACTTCTAAACAGTTACCTGTTTAAATACAGCTTTTAGGTTGTTTCAAGTCTTCTGCTTCTCTTCTAACAATACTGCTGGGATTCCTGTGTCCTGTGTAGGTTTCTTTGCCCAATTGTGTCCCATACATCTGGGGTGAATTCCTACAAGTGGAATTCAGAGCCCAGGATCCTAACCCTAACCACTGGGTACCCCTGAGGGCTAGCCTGCCCCCCAGAAAGTTACACAAACATGGCTCTTCAGGGCTCCTGCCCTGACATCATCTTCTGCAGGTTGGGCGGCCCCGGAGATTCAGAAGAATTTTACTAGGGTTCCATCAGCATCGTGCAAGCAGAGCAAGCTCTGGTTGCCAGTGGTGCATGAGTTTCCACCCTCAGTACCTGTTCAGGGTCGCTCCAGGCACAGCTGAGATGAAAGCTGGGGTCCCAGGGCAGAGAGAGTTCCCACTCCGCACCTGCCCGTTCCCTGGTCCCACTGCGTCTTTCTCCTCAACACTCAGCTTCATAACTAGGCTGCCCGTTCACCACGCTGCACAGGTTACTTCCTGGTCTTCCCCGCCCGTGACTTCCTTGGATGTGTTAATTTCCTGCGCACCCTCCAGATCCTGGGAATGACCACCCAGCCCCATCCTGAGCATGCCACCACCTTCCATGCCTCGGGGCGCCCCTCCCTGCAGGGGATACCAGCTTACTTGACCTCCTATCACACATCCTCAGACTGTTTCTCTAGCCGTTGAATCTGTGTGTTACAATTGTTTTCAACCAACAAGCACTGAGCCTCTATCAAGACCACGACCCCGCAACAGTCCTCTCCCAGATGCCTGCAGACTCCTTGCTGTGCTCCTTTGCTTCCCAAAGTTGAAACCAGCACTCACAAAACAGTGTCATATTAGGTGACCGCCGAATTAGGTAGACACTGAAAATGTCTTTGGAATTAGGGCGGAGGGAATAGAACGGCTGGTGAAGGTGGATCTGGAGATGGGCTTTCAAGCGTGGAGGCTTTAGCTCGATTGCATCATTGTAGGTGGCGATACGAACGAATAGCCCCCGTTACCGGCAGACACAGTGCTGTGCACAGAAAGCCAAGGCCAAGACCGTGTTCTAGCTGAGCTGGGTTCCAACCCAAGTCTGTCTGGTCCTGCCTCCTGCCCCTCACTGCTCTCCCATGACTAGGTGCCCGGCCCCCTTGTTGGGGCTCGTTGGCAGACTGGGGACCCCCACTTGCATCCCCGGTCCCTTGGCTGATGGTTTCATTGTCATTCCAGGACTTCTGCCATGGGCAAGTGATGTGGCCGCCCCTGAGTGCCCTGCAGGTAAAGCTTGCTGAGCCCGGGCAGTCCTGCAAGCAGGTGTGTCAGGAGAAACAGCTCATCTGTGAGCCTTCCTTCTTCCAGCATCTCAACAAGGACAAGGACTTGCTGAAGTAAGTGCTGGAGCACGGGAGAGGCAGCTCAGCCTGCAGCTCGCCTCTGGGTCAGAGCTGGGTTGCGAGGGATGAGGTTTTCCTTTTTAGGCTCGTGGGCTGTTGGAATAAGATGTGGAAAAGGTTATAGCATGATCCCACCGCCCCCCTCTACCCAGAGAAAGTTGGCCCAGCGCTTTTATTGTTAAGTAGATGAGGTCACCTGGCCTGCTGATATATTTAGAATTCGAATAGGGGTGTTTTGTTTGCATAAATAACGGGAAGTCGGGGCTGGGAGATGGCGGGAGGCGTTCGGTTTGCTAATTGGTACCCAAGAACCATGGGAGCCGAGATGGGCACAGAACCACAAGCACAGACAGACCCGCCCCTGCGGTCCCCTGGCTGTAGCTAGGTCCGCAGAGTCAGGGAGTCTGGAAGAAATGAAAAATACGGGCAGGGAGCTAGCACAGCACTGCCCGCAGCAAATTTCCCTGCCACCTTCCCCTCCTGCAGCCCCATCTCCTTTTGTGCTTTATTCCAGCCCCTTTGAGGGCATGAGCAGGCCTGGCTTTGCCGGGTCCCTGAGCAGGGGTGCAGGTGCAGCAGTGGGATCACAGGCCAGAGTGAGCCAGGAAGGACCTTCTCTATTGCTGGGATTTCTTTTCTCGTGCTGCTTGTGTTACTTGCAGTCACACCATTCATTTCCCTTTGCAGTGGCATTTTGAGTTTGGTGTTTGCACTTTCCAGGTTTCCATGTGAAGTTTCTTCTGGCCTCTGACTCATGCCCCCTGTCAGTGCTGAATCTGTTCCTCGATATTTATCACACCCTCCCTGGGCCACAACCTGGTTAATTACCTGTCACCCCTTCCCAACCTTAAGAACTCTTAATGCGGTGTTTTCCCCTGAGGGATTTGCTATCCCAACCCTAGATATTCCGCACAGCTGTGGTTCTGCCCCAGTCTTTTTTTTTTTTTACATCTTTATTGGAGTATAATTGCCTTACAATGATGTGTTAGTTTCTGCTTTGTAACAGAATGAATCAGTTATACATATACGTATGTCCCCATATCTCTTCCCTCTTCCGTCTCCCTCCCTCCCGCCCTCCCTATCACACCCCTCTAGGTGGTCACAAAGCACCTAGCTGATCTCCCTGTGCTATGCGGCTGCTTCCCACTAGCTATCTACCTTACGTTTGTTAGTGTATATATGTCCGTGCCTCTCTCTCGCCCTGTCACAGCTCACCCTTCCCCCTCCCCGGGTCCTCAAGTCCATTCTCTAGTAGGTCTGTGTCTTTATTCCTGTCTTACCCCTAGGTTCTTCATGACATTTTTTTCCCTTAAATTCCATATATATGTGTTAGCATACGGTATTTGTCTTTCTCTTTCTGACTTACTTCACTCTGTATGACAGACTCTAGGTCCATCCACCTCATTACAAATAGCTCAATTTCATGTCTTTTTATGGCTGAGTAATATTCCATTGTATATATGGGCCCCAGTCTTGAAGAGGATGTTTAAGGAACAGAGTGGGGACTTCCCTGGAAGTCCAACGGTTAGGACTCCACGCTTCCACTGCAGGGGGCACGGGTTCGATCCCTGGTCAGGGAACTGAGATCCTGCACGCCGTACGCACCCCCCTCCCCCAATAATAATAATAATAATAATAAGGCACAGAGTGGACTCAGGGCTCGCGGCTTGCCGGCCCCTGTTCTGGCTTCACACCCTTCTAGAGCGTGGTTGGCCACCGTGCTCATCCGTGCCTAGTGGTCTGAGCTGCCCTGATCCTGCCTGAAAGTCTTACTACCTTCAAGTGTGGTATAAAACCCTTTTTAGAGAAAGCGCGTGGTCTCTAGCGTCGCGCCTACAGGGATGCTCTCCTGAGTGGGGATGTGGATGATGCTATTTTTTCTCGTTCTTTTTACGTGAAGACCCGGATCAGAGGTGGCCTCGGTTCCACCATCAGAATAAAGGCCAGGCCAGCAGAGTCGGTCGGCGGCCTGCTCTGCAGCCCGTGGAGCCTTGTGGGAGGGAACACTGGTCTGACGTCTGTGGAAAGCCCTGATGGTGCCAGAAGCTTCCATCTCCAGAGCACGCATCCCAAATTCTAGGTCCGGGGGGAGCTTGCCACTCGCCCCTTTTGCAGACGGCTCCCGTAGCAAAGTGGCTTTCTGAGAACCCCGAGTGTCTCCCTCTGTTTGAGCGGAAGTCTGGATGCACTGGGGGCAGGCTACAGAGCGTCTACACAGAACTGTCTACGTGCAGCCGCTGCCCCAGCGCTGGAGGAGGGAACCCGGACGGGACCCTCAGCAGCGGCGGCCTTCCTGGCCAGGCCGCAGGCGGGGCTCCCGGGGCTCGCTCTCAGAGAGCACGGGGCCCACCACAGCCCGCCCGTCTGCAGACCCAAGGGCTAGGTCCCGCGGAGGCACAGGACAGGGAACCAAGGAACCAGTTTCCTCTGTCCCCAGCAATGTCCTCACCTGTGAGATGGGGACAGCCCGGGTAATGATGAGAGAAGATGCAGCTGGTGCTGCAGGCAGAGCAGAAAAGCCCTGTCTTGTAGAGAGCTTGGGCAGCGGGGCAGGCCCGAGGCCACCAGGCTGAGACCAGAAACGCCAGTGCCCTGCCACCTCCCTGCCCACCCCCACCCCCGCCCGCCGCCGTCTTCCAAGCTGAGCCCAGGGAGCAGAAGGCCTTGCTGTGGGGCGGCCGTGGGGTTACTAAACGCCCCTCCCACCCCATCCCCTTGTAGATACGTGGGTTTTCTTCCTAGGAGGCTGCCGTGAAGGCTGAGTTTGCAGTAGAGCCTCCTGCAGTTAATTTTCTGTGCGCAGGAGCCCTGGTGAATACCTTGCCTCTGCACTTGTAAATACCGATAACGTCGTGAAAGCCCGGCTCTCTGGTGCGTCTGTTGAAACCCTCTTCAGTGAGGCAGTCCTGGCTTATTCGTGTTCATGGCCTGTTAGCAGCGAGCTGCTGCTCTTTCTTCTCCAACTTGGGGCCTGGCTCTGAGTTTAAGCTCCTCTCCGTCTTCGGGTGTCCCCGGCCTGTCCTCGCTCTGCAGTGTGACCTGATGTGACTTAAGTAGAGCCCTTTGGAGCGTCCCGTGCTGTCGTCTTGAATCGGGGAGTCAGGCAGGGCGAGGTGGGAGTGATGGAGAGGCGACCACAAACTCCTGTGCACGGAGCATGCGTGATTCGGGTGGCACCCAACCTGACCCGGACCGGGGCCGGAGTGGCCGGAGGACAGAGGCCCCAGGCAGAGCCAGAGTCCGGGCTGGTGGGACCCAGGGCGGGCGCACCTCGGCTTCCGAAATGGGAACGTGCGTTAGCGCAACGTGTGTTGCGACCTTTACAGGTTGTACCTTCTGAAAGATTCATTTATTGAGTGTGGGTTGGTTGGTTTGAAGAACAGTAATTCTAAGCCATGAGGCCTGGACTGTGAGCTCGTGGGCACCTTCGGAGCAGGGAGGTGGCCCTGAGTCCGAGTGGTGACGAGGGAGCTTGGGGAGACTTGGTGGATACGGGGCAGGGCTAAGGAGGATGGGGCGGGGGAAGGAGTAAGACCAGCCGGTGGGTCCTGCTTCCATCCCTTCATCCTGAGTGGGGCTGCGTTGGGGGAAGGGTGGGCGGCTTCTCTTCTCTCAGGAAATAGGCAGCCCCACGGGAAGGGGCCTTTGCCCTTCTCTTCTTCAAGGGCTATAAACTCTACACTAAGGGCTGAGGGGCCTCGGAAGCCCCAGCTCCCATCCTGTGAGAGAAGCCACCGAGGCCAGCTGGAGAGAGGTGAGGACCACAGGGGCCCACAGAAAGGAAACAGCACAGCGCGCCACAGGTCTGAGCGGGGAGTGTGTGTGTGTGCGCGCGTGCATGCACGCGTGTGTGCGACACAGACATCCCAGGAACAGAGAGGCAGAAACAGCCACACGCATGCCCTGAAGAGGCGAGGGACCACAGCAGAGCATGAGGATGTGCTCCAGCCATTGGGAAGGTCTCCTCGGCAACAGCTGAGGACTGTGGCTCACTAGCTCAGCAAGGATGCTGGAGGGGCCTTCCCGACCGCCCGGGGCTTGTGGGACGGAGACCTGCAGCTAACAGAAGGGAGAGCTCCCCGGGGTAGGGGGTTGGGTCACACCCATGGGTGGCTCCGGTGCCCCTCAGCTAAACCGCTGGGGAGCTGCCTGGGGACGGGTCCCCTGTGGCTCCGGGGACCACCTGCTGCTTGAGTGCTTCGTGGTCATCTCTGGGCATCGGCCCTGGGCCGGCTGCTACCGTTGCAGCCTCGTGGTCACGGGCGCACGTGCTCGCACCCCAGGAGGCCGGGCCTGGAGTCTGAGTCCAGGAGACCAGAGGCGGTAGGAGGGTTTCTTCCTGGCTCCTGGCAATTCTCCCCCTTGCCTCGGGGTCTCAGATGAGTTGTGGAGATTTCCACGCTCCTGACGAGCAGTGTACCAGGCAGATGGCTTGAGTTAAGACACAGCAGCTGCTGTAATTCGCCTAAATAAATAAATAGCATGAGCATGAATCTGGATCCCAACGCCGCATTCCATATGGCAACTTTTCACGCACAGTGGAGCCCTGGAGACCCCTTTTTGTGTTGCCCAGGAGGAGTGTCCTGTGAGGGAGCTGGTAGCCCCTGTCTCCGGCTCAGGTTTCCTTAAGACCTCCACGTCCCGCCCTCGCCATGCCCTCTGGGTGCCTCCGTCTCCCGGCTGGCTTACCTAACATCAAGGGGTATCGGGCCACTTAGAGAAGCCGCAGAGCTCCCTGGCGACTGCAGCAGCAAGATGGGCCGGTGCTGCCCTCCTGGGCACCGGGAGCCAGGCAGGCAGCCTTGGAGAGCTCACCGGAAGCCCCAGCAGACGCACTGGGAACCACCAGGAGGGCAGGTGGGCCCTGGCAGTTAGTTGGCGGGAGGAAGAAAAAAGAGGGCGCAGGAGTAATGGGGGCGCCATGTGCTCTTCCCCCGACACTTGGAGGCTTTCCAGAGGCAGCAGGAGACCTCAGGTTCCACATCCAGGTCCCCTCCCTACCGGCAAGAATCAAGACTTCCGTGAACAAAGCAAAACAGAGATGGTTGGCACGTGTGTAAGTTCTCACTGCTGGGCAGAGGAGGAAGGTGGCATGGCCCAGCCCGCGTCGGCCGGGGCAGGGTGTTGATGGGAATCATGATAGGTCTCGTGTGTTGAATACTTCCCAGAGCTAGACTCTGCCAGCTGCTTGATAAGCATTAATTTAATCCCTGGACCTTCCCTGTGAGGGAAGGATTCTCTCTCCCCATTTCACAGAAGAGGAAACAGACACAGAGAGGCTCAGTCATTGGTCCAGGGCCACACAGCTCATAAGAGATGAAGCCAGGACTCAGACCCAGATCTGTCTGGCCCTCCTATACCACCTTCTCTGAACTGGTCCCCACCAGCCATGTGGGGTACAGGGGACAAGGTGGGTAGGACCCAGGTACCCCAGGTAAGAGGAGAACTTACGTGGCTCTTCTTTGAAATGAGGCCAACACGGTTGGAAACAGAAACATCCGGTTCTCCTTCGCCCCCCCCACCACCCCCCAGGCTGTGGTCCCAGGCTGAGAAAGCAAAGCCACAGGGGTCTCCAGCCCACAGAAAATTCACCTGTTGGGAGACTACGGCGCAGGGGCAAGAACACAGACCTGGGATGATTCAGTCCCTGCTCTGCGCACCCAGAAACCTCAAGCTGGGGACAGGGCTGGGGTGGGGGTGTTACTGTTGCCACTGTCCTCCAAGGTCCAGTGACTCAGGTCCAGGACGGCACCTTCCCCGGGAGACCGTCTGACTGCTGTCCAGTGGGGACTAAGGCCATGTAACAGGGGTATCTTGAAGCCATTAATTGAGAAAATTAAATATAGTTTTTAAAACACATGTAAATAATGCCTATCTTTCCCCCAGTCTCACTCCTCAGAAGTCAACAGTGTTAAGTCTTTAGTGTGTAGTCTTTCATGACTTCTCTCCCTCTCCCCCCTCCTCCCCCCGCCCCCCGTCTCTCTCTCTGTCTCTCTCACTCACACACACACACACACACACACACGCGCGCGCGCGTTGGTACACCGTACATCCTGTCGTTACCTGCCTTACTCGAGGACAGCTCTCATGCCAATGCTCGCATTTCCACCTCTCCTCTGTCAAGGGCTGCATGTAACTCTGATGGTACAGATGAGCCAGAGTTGATTCAGCCATTTCCCACTTGCTGAGTATTCAGGTTATTTCCAGTTTTTCTCCATTACGGACAGTGCTTCGCTAAGCAGCCTTGAACACATAGGCCCATACACGTGTCCAGGCTCACACATGACTTTCTCGAGCCTGGATTTCCAGAGGTGAGAGAATGGCTGGGTCAGAGGCCGGCTGACGTTTCATTTCTACTGCAGGAGCCCCGAACGAGCTCCCCACGCCTCGGACGGTGGACAGGTGGAGGCAGGGGTGAGGACGACCCCTGCATCCCTAACCCCTTTCTCTTCCCCTGCAAGGTACGAGGTGACCTGCCAAAGCTCAGAGATGGCCAAGGACATCGTGGTGCCCTCCTTCGACCCCAAGAACAAGCACTGTGTGTTTCAAGGTGACCTCCTGCTGTTCAGCTGTGCTGGCGCCCACCCCAGGCACCGGAGGATCTGCCCCTGCCGGGACTTCATCAAGGGCCAGGTGGCTCTCTGTAAAGACTGTCTCTAGCAGCCACCGGCTCGTCCCCGCACGCACTCTCCTGGGGAAGACGGTGGGCAGAAATCACTCGGGGACTTTCGCCGGAGCCTGAACTCCTTTGGCGGGAGGTCTCGATTTGGTATTGCTCCCGCTGCGGTCGGAGGATCCCAGCGGAGTTCTCACCAAAACAAAACGAGAGTCGACGTCAGGCCGGGGAGCCTGGCTTCTCCCTGGCACAAATTCATTTTTAATCTTGGAGGAGCTACTGTAGGGAGACTGTCTATGCAGCTGCTCCAGGGTAGAAAGAGAATCTCAAGATTCATTTAAATGAAACAAAACCAGAGGAGGAATTGAGCTAGTTGGAAAGGACTTCGTATGGGAACATTCCTAAACCCATTAACTTATTTATTTGGGAGGGAGGGAGGGGGAGCTGGGGCGGGCAGAGAGGGATTGATCACGCGTCTTGTAAACTTCTTCGATCTTCCTCTGTTGGCCGTCCACCTTCACTATAATATTACTACTGTCTGCTTTGGGCAGGGTGCCCTGTGGGGTTGGTGGCATGCTTAAGGGCAGCTCTGGGGACCTAGCTCCTCGAAGTGGATGGTGGCAGAACAGAACAAACCTTGTGTGCTTGCCACACGGCAGCTAGGGCACGGGCAGCCCCTGGCGTGCGGAGGTATGCCTGTGTGGTCCGGAGAGCCCACGGGGACCAAAGATGGGCTGCTTTGCAGCGAGAGGCTCCTTTCCTCTGTCCCACCCCATCCCCAGCCGAAAACATACTCGCACCCAAACCCACACCCACATACAACCTTGGCTGTCATTTCTGGTTAGGATTAGAAGAGCTACCCTTGGAGCTCTTGGAGGCCGTGCTCTTTGCCCCTTCAGAGATTTGTCTTCGAGCTGAGATTTGGACGGGAGTGAAGCTGGTCTTAGGGACCACCAGAGCCGGGTTCTGGACGGATGGGCTCGTGTTGTATTCCCTCTAATGTCTGATGTCACTGAAGTCCAGGGAATGGGGCTCTTGGTGAACCTGATGCCGGCTCGGGGAGCAGGGGCAGGCCAGGATGCATGTGCACTGTCCTGGCCCCTCACCTGTGAGTGTGGGTGCGGCGTGCAAGGGGCAGGAATGTGATGCTGGCTTCTACTCCGGGCACAGGTATTTGTGGGGGGCGGGGGTGGTGAGCCACTTGGCAGGTTGGACCAAACCGTGGAGTCACCCCCCACCAGCTTTTGTGTGAGTTCCCCCCGGTCCCGCACACCTCCATCCCGTGCCTCAGTGCTGTGCGTGTAAGTGTGTATGTTTCTGCGATGCCCCTGGCATCTCCGTACTGCTAAGAGCGAGCCCTCTTCTCTCTCTGGCGGAACGGCCCCATTATGAGTTGTCCCGTGATCAGTCCAGACCTCACTCATGCTTCTGAGTGCCTTGGTCGCCGAGCAGAGCAGCTGGGCAAGGCTAATGGCCTGGGTGGGCCTTCGGGACATGAGGTTGAAGTTAGAATTCTGCTTTCTGAGGACCAGATGGAGTGTGGAGACTTGAGTTATGGGAAGTTAGATTCCGCCTGCTTCTAGATTCTTCTTGGGTGTAAAATTAATATCGAGCACACAGCCAGCCATTTTTTCTTAGACCCTCTGTGGGTCTTAATTGCACCTCCCATCTTAGAGAATGGAGGGAGGGAGGAAGGGCAGCCGGGGTCTCCCCGACCCCATAGGTGGCCCACATGTGCCAGGGAGAATGCTGGCGGGGAGGTCTCTCTGCTCTGAGCGCGGATGCAGGGGCCCGCCCGTCACAGCCTGGCTAAGAAGAGCAATAAGGATGGAGGGTGCGAGTGCCTGGGTGCCTTGAAGCTTTGCAAGGGCGGTTTCCCGCAGTGGGAGTGCCATCCCTGCTGTGGGGAACAGCTTTTCCCTACAGATGGGACTCCTGGCTGCAGCCTTGCTGGTGGCAGTTTGCTTGAGGGCCCAGGCCTGCAATTCCTGGGCCGGTGCTGCCCTCTTCTGGGCTCTTCTGGGAGCTTCCAGTGCTGAGGACGTGAGTGCCGGCGTTTGACCAGCAGGGGGAGCCGGCGGGCCGAGACCAGTTTCCCACTCGGCCAGATAAAGCCATTTTGCGAGACAGCTGTTACAGCCAACCCAGGAACTCTGAAAGCAAGGAAGTTGGAAAGCCCTGTTCTCAGAAAGATGCTGTGCCGGGCTTGTGTTCCAGAAGCTGCAGGATTGTTTGCTGGCTGCCCCTGAGCTCAGGGACTCTCCGCCTTCTGGAGAATTCCTCTTCTCCTCGTCAGGACTCTAAGGTCAGGCAGCCGGGAGAGCACCTCCCCAGTTTGAAGATTCCTGTGGCTTCCCCCCATTTCTAGTAATGGAAGTAAGCCAGAGCTCTCTGCCTGCAGGGCTGCTGCTCCTGGGGCAAAGAAACCCACACTCCAGTTCTTGAGGGCATTATGAACAGAGGCGGCGACACTGAATGTATACTGGCTCTCAGGCCTCCACACACGTGGCCCAAGTCTGGTCAGCGACCCAAGAGGACATTGGGATAGGGACCTCCATCTGCCCTGCACAGGAAGGGGTGCGATTCCTGCCTGCCCTGGGAGAGGAAGGCACCTCTCAGAGTGTGGTCTGGGAGCCTTCGATGGTTTTGCCGATGCCAATCTTAATAGAATCCTAAACCAATTAATTGGTAATCGATGACAATTCCACAGGGAGAGAAATCCCCAATCAGGATTAGTGTCTTCTTGTGCTCTGAGCATCTCTCATCTCTTGCCTGGTCTTTAGTTTTCGTACATTTTTTTCCTAAAAGATTTGGGATTTTTTTTTCCCCCCTCCACTGTGATCCTAAGTTCTTAAAAAAAAAAAAAAAAACTCGAGGGAAAACATTTAATTTATTAAAGGAGAGAAAGCTTTCCTTTGAAATGTAAAGACTTTCGGGAATAAACGTTCCTGAAAGGGGAAACGCTTCTCCCGCCAGTAAACACCTCATTTATTTCTTGTATGTAATTCGATTTGCACAAGTACAATTGGAGAAGCTTTTTTTGCATTTTTGCTTAGATTCGGTTTTGTCACTGCTTATAGTTTACTTTTTGTGTGTTTTGCTGTATGTTTGGAGATATTTCTTTGGTGATATTTATTTTTTCTCTGAGGTGCCTTTTCACTTTCGGGTTCGTTTTCGGAATGTGGGGTTGGTTTTTGGAATCTGGGTTTTGTTGAAGGAAGCTAGCAGACTCCTCCAGCTTGGAGAAAGGACATGCCCTGGCATCACTGCGGGCAACTCAGGCTGGGCGCCGAAAATGCCCTCCAAGCCCCCCCCCCGGGGGGCCATAGTGTAGGGGCACATACACCCCCATGAAGCCATGAGAACCCCCAAGGTCTGACTTCCTCCAGACCAGCCCATACTTTCCCAGGCTGCTCGGCCAGGTCTTTGGGTTTGGGGACTGCTGGTTGACACGTGCCACCCCGGGAGCTTGGTGAGGTCTGGCTGCAGCAGAAAACCAGCCCTACCTGAGGGGTTGCACTGAAGGGAAGCAGGCCCTGCTGAACTCATGGAAGCACTGGCCCAAAACCACTTCATCTGGTTAGCAGGATGAAGGGGAAGAAATACGCACCCCCTTTTTTTGTTTCTTTGGCAAACGTGGGGTTCGATAAAAGTGACTACTCAGCTTCCCGGTAAGCTCACTTTGGGGCGCCCCAGTGCAGCTCACTGGTAGTGAAGCCACGAGTGTGACCAGGTAGACAAAACTGTTCTGTTTATGGGTGGATTTGTGCTTTTTAGACCAGACCAAGGCAGGCCACCCCGTTCTCCGAGGTGGTTTACCTAGATTGTGTATTTAATGGGAACATTGCCACCCTCTCCCATGCCCCCCGCAATTCTTGATTTAAAAAAAAAGGTCTGTTAACGACAGGCTCAGTTGTGTTACTCTCCCATGCCTGGAATGTTGTATTTATTGAAAAGTATTTTCATTTCTACACTGGCTTCACTCTAACCCCATCCATCCCTGTGGGGCTGCAGAGCACCTTTGTGTGAAGAGCTGGATGGATGTAGAGAGATTCAGACTTCTTTAGGAAGGTAGGAATTTCCTAAAGCACAGGGCGGGTTCCTTTCCTTCTTGTGGGCTTCAACAAAAAAATGGAAAACCAAGTTTTTATAGCAAAAGGCCAAATTAGCTGTCTAGTGTCCGATGCAGAAAAAAACTACCCTAGCTTTCTTAGCACTTAGGGTTTTTGTGAGGATTCAGTTTAGCAGTGAATTAGCAGTGTTTAGCAGTGTCTGGCATATAGTAAGCCCTAGTGAGTGTTAAATATTGTTGTTATTCGCCTTTCGTAAAATTCGAGAAAAAAGAGCTGAGCTCACTTCCTATCCTTGATTCAAAAGTAATACCTACGGGAGAATACTCCCAAGTTGATAGAATGTTGTAGGACGTAGTGGTGGAAGATACCTGAGTCCTGTGTCCACCCTGCTGGTTAAAATGCACTGACTGGAAAATATGCCTGACTGCAGCCCCAGATGGAACTGGGCCACAAGAATTAGCAAACTGAACATAAGAGGGTGACCTCTGGCCACATGCTGCGGACCGCACCCCACTCAGCTTCTGGATCCTTCCAGGGTTTTGCTTTGCAGAACTTGGTGAGCTGGAAATTAAAATGAATTCTCTGACAGACTGTCCCCTTAAAGTTACCCATCTTTCTCTGAAATGCAATGATAGAGGCGTTTCTGTTTTTTATTGAAGGGGAAAGGAATGACCAATTGAACTTAATCGCTCCCCAGGAAGCCCCTTTTGGCGCCCCCTGCTGGCCAGGGTGGCTCCTGCACTGTCCAGTCCAAGAGGATCAGGCTCCCAGGCTGGTTAGTTGTCACGTTTCTCTCGCATTAAAGGTTATTCTATGGGGGTGGCGGGGGCGTCTTCAGAGCTCCAAGAGGCTACTCGGGGCTTAATGTTGTTTTCCCAGATCACCTGAATGTCAGTTCGCTTTTTTTTTTGGGGGGGGGGGTTGGTTTCAGCCTCTTGCTTCCCTAGATAGGTTTAGAGTTGTATCTCCTCTCCTATCTTGGCCCTATTCTGCATAGATTGCATTTGTGGAAAATGGAGGACTATGTTGGAGTCTGGTGTCTTTTTCAGATCCTTTGGATTCTCTTCAGCTGAATCAGCAGTCATTTAAGATCGGAACTGACCTTCTTCAAAGCATCATTTCCTCTATTCTTCCCAGATCTTGTGGAGCCTTCAGATTACCCCCCAGCCCCCCGCATCCGGTGAGGCACGACAAAGGGATGCAAGGGCAGCCGTGCGCTCGTGCGTCGGGCAGGGCCCCGTCTGGGTCCGTGGGGGGCAAGGGTGGTCCTGGAGGCTCAGAGCCTTTGTGGTGCTGGAGGGCTCCCTGGGCCAGCCGGCCAGGAACCTAGCACAGGCAGCCACCTCTGGCACAGCTGAGATGGAGCAGACGTGGGATGCCTTTGCTCACCGGCCTGCCCGGGTGAACAAGAGTGGAAGTCTATGCCAAAGGAGATGGTGACGTCCTTTCTGCTGTAGTTGCTGTCACAGCCTTGATGTCTGTAAGCTAATGGCCATTCGCGTCTGTGTCTTCGGCCAGCTCCTGGTACAACCATTTTCTACTGTTCACTTCTGGGGTTAAGTAGTGCGGGATTCTGCAAATAAGGTGTTGCTGTCAAATGTACTGTACCGGCGTAGAGAGCACTGCTTTGTTTTCCACTGTTGTAGAGAAAACTAGGGAGAACTTTATTTTTCAATAAACTTTTCTTGTGTGACAGATGGAAGTGATTTGGGGGCAGGGCGGGTGGGTACCAGGGCTCCAGCAGGACCCCGTCCAGCTGCATCCTCCAGCAGTGGTAGCTGCTGACTGCGTTTCACCGTTTGCAGGTACACTGCCGAAAATGCTGATAGGAAGGTAGGTTTAAGGAATTGGGGAGGTGGGGGGCTCACTATGGAACACCCACCAGCACTGATTGCAGAGCACGCTCACCTAGAAGGGAATTGAGTTTGCAAGTAGACTGTTGTTTGTTTTGTAGGTAACTGTACTACATCAGATGTTTAACAATCTTGAAGGATGGACTAGCAAGATAGCCCTTAAGAGGCTATCAGAGGGCTTATTAGACCTGGAACATGTTTCCCCACTTCAGAGAGAGCACTTGGACCCCAGGGCTCAGTGTGGTTAGGCACAGGCCCTGGGAACAAGGAAGTTCAAGTTCATGCTCCCACCAGGAGCTTGTTGTGGGGCCGTGATGCAGCCTCTCCGAAGCTGGTGAACCTTCTGGTCGCTGCCCAGAGCAGAGACACCAAGGGAGACAGCCTGCATGTTTGATGGGACACACGTCCCCAAGGAAGGTGAGCATAACTTGAGTGCCTAAGTTTGGGGGGCTGCCACGGCATAGCTGTCACAATGGGAACTATATTAAACAGTAAATACAGGGAGAAAACCTGCAGAAAAGAAACCTATTGAATCTTGCATTTCCCAGACCTGGACAGTGTCCATCTTTTCTGTGCAACATGGTAACAGCCCAATAGAATATGCCTCAAAATGCCGTTGGTTTAATCGGATGCTTTCAGCGTGCCTTCCTCTCCAAGGTCAGTGACCTCTTAGGACCACACCACCTCCCCTTCCGGGGCCTAAGGTAGCTGGGGGGCGGGGCACGGCCCTCCCGGACTTGGGGGGTGGGGTGGTGGTCAGCTCCAGGCACCACCACATGGACGTATGTGGCTACTCTCTCTTCCCCTCCCTGAGCAGGGGGTGAGACTGGCCCCCACCCCGACACCCCGTGCTTCACCCACAGCAGTGACAACCTTCACCATCACGTCCCCATACCATATAAAACAGGCCAAGGTCTTTATTGGTCACCGTCGCCCGGACAAGCAGCAGTGCTAGAGGTACAGAATGTTGCGTGTGGGGAGACCGTTTTTGTGTGTGTGTCTTTAACAGAATCTATGCCTAACGCTGCATAAACCGAGAACAGCTTGTTCCTTACGACGTGAACGGACTGAAATGTACCATTACCACGTCACACAGCATAAGCATATAGATACATCTATGGATAGATTATATAATTATTTATTACAAATAAACTGTAGTTTCACACCTCTCCAAAAGGGATCCTGTGTTTACACGTACGTTCGGGTTCTGAATGTACAAGGAAGGGTCAGGGGCTGAGTTCGACCATGCAAAAGCTCACACGTCTATCACGAAGCACTTTAAAAATAGAATGGTCTCCTCCTTCAGAACAAATTTGGTGTTTAGATTGAGGATTAGTGAAACAGTATGAAATGAATGAAATACATGGACAGAAATTAGGAAGTGATAAAGGGGTGAGGGACCAACGGGTACGGTCTTCTCTTAAAATCTGCCAGGAGACTCCGGGCCCACGTGGAGGACCGAGGAGGTGAGTCCGGGGAGCTGCTCTCCATTTGAGGCTGGGAGCACCCCAGAGGCATTCCACCAAGCAGACGTCGTATCCTCCCCACACGAACCTTTTTACTGCAGAAGATGGAAAAGGTCAGTCCTCCCGCCGGAGACGGGGTCCTGCTCCGTGCTCACGGTCCTGCGGTGTTTGGCGGGGGCAGTGGCGGGAAGCAGTGCGGTCCGGCCTGCTGGGGAGACCTGGTTCCCGTGAGCACAAAGAAACTGAACGTTCAGTTAAACATCAGTACCGTCTGCCTGCATGGAAACCTCCGGTGGCCCCGACAGTCCTCATGCGGATGCAGGGCAGCCGGCCCCGGCCTCCTTCACTCAAACATCTCGTAGTGGCGCGTCTGCCTCACCCTGGGCACCATGTCGATGAGAAGCCTGCGAAGAGAAAGGCCGGTCACCCCAACACAGACCCTCCGCAGCCCTGGGCTTGAGCACTTGGGAAACAGATGGGGGCTTTGTTTTTTTATAAATATAATTCACATACTATAGAATTCCTACAATTCAGCGGTTTTTAGTACAAGCAACCATCACACCCACCTAATTCCAGAACGTTTTCATTGCCCCCCCCGAGAGAAACTCCATGCCCTCTAGCGGTCACTCCCCACCCCATCTTCCCCTGACAACCACAAACGTACTCTGAACCTCCATGGACTTGCCTATTGGGGACAGTTCCTATAAGTGGAATCATTCAAGATGTAGCCTCTGGCAACTGGTTTCTTTCACTGGGCGTGTTTTCGAGGTTCAGCCATCTATCAGTAGCATGAATCGGTATTTCTTTCTTTTTATGGCTGTATAAATACTCCACTGCATAGCTCTACCACATTTTATTTATTTATCCATTCATCAGTTAATGGACGTTTGGGTTCTTTAAAACCCGCATACGTTGGGCATATGAGTTGTCTCTACTTTTTTGCCCCCTGTGAATAATGCCACTATAAATGTTCATGCATAGGTGTTTGCATGGATGTGTTTTCGTTTCGCTGCAGTATATACCAAAGGGTGGGATTTGCTGGGTCAAATGGCGGCTCCGTGTTTAACATTTTGAGGAACTGCTAAACTATCCCCAAAGCGGCTGAACAATTTACATGCCCACGGGTAAGATACGGAGGTTCCGATTTCTCCACATTCTCACCAACTCTTACCGTGTCTTTTATCATAGCCATCGTAGTGGGAGAGAGGAGGCATGTTAACATTTAAAAGCTCAGCACCTTTGAGAAACTGTTCTCTTTTCAAAGGCCGACTCCAGCCTAGATGCTGGATGCAGAGCCAGCGATGCCTGCTGGGCACTTCCTTCTTCAGTGACAGGCCTCAGGCTGGGCTAGAACCAACTCTACATGTAGCCCTCCTGCACCAGAGTCCCTTTTGCAAGAAGTTCTCTAAGTGTGAGGTCCCGGCCTCTGTAGCAGGTGGCAGAGGGGACTTTAAGGGTGAGGACAGCCCCACAAACGCCTCCCTGGTGCTGATCATGACCCTCACTACAGAGGCGGAAAGGGGCACAAATCTATAGGCACGAAGGGTTAAAAAGGGAGGACCGTTCAGTGAACTACAAAAGACGGCACACAAAAGCGGACCCTTTGTGACCGAAAGCCTAGGCCCCTGGTCCAAGTCCTTGCCTCACTCCTGTCCCAGCCCCCAGAGTATGTGACGGCTGCAGGGGGCCTTTCCAGTCTCCTGACCTCCCCCGGGGGCGGGAGGGTCACAGGTACAAGAGGTGATCGGGGCTGGGGAATAAAGCGCCCGTGGCCGCCCGGAGAGCAAAGAGGAAACAGCACTTACTTGACCCCGTAGGCGAATATGGTGAGGCCGATGAGCACCCCGATGCTGCCGTCCAGGTACCAGACGGCCGAGTCGTGCTTGAACACCTCGGCGCTCAGCAGAATGGAGAAGCCCATCACGGCCCCCACGAGGGAGTTAAACCCTGGAAGAGAAGCAGAGAGCGGCTGAGGGCAGTGCCCAGGGAACTTGCTTAGCCACCAGGAAAACCACCAAAATGCCAGGCGTGCCTCTGCGTCCCGGAACGCGTACTGGAAGGGACGTTCCAGAAGCACTTCTCGGGTGAGAGCCGCCACCACCTCAGACACCCACATGGTTTGACAAATCTCTGCTCACACGTCACCAGAGACTCCCTGGAGGGAGCTGTCACCCTCACCGTCCATCCCCTGCCAGCCACCATGCCCAAGTGACAGCCTGTGTAGGCTCCTGTCGTCTTCCTCCCAGGCCCCAGGGACACAGCAGGGGCACCAGGCCTGCCAAACACACAGGGGACACTCAATACTCAGTGACTCATACCTGTCCAGTGTCTGCTGGGCAAGTACAGAGCTGGGATTGTCTCAACTCTGAAGTCAGATTATCACCCTCGTTTTACCAATGAGAAAACTAAGTTGAGCAGAGTGACTGAGGTTTAGTAAACTGACCAGCGTTATACAGATTGAGAGGGGGCAGGGCTGGGATTCTACCTGAACCCGTGTGCTTTCTCTGCCATGTCTCCTAAGTCACCCAAGGATTCTTCACTCTCCAGGAAAGAAATGCATAGACTAGCATTAGCTACCTGGTTGCAGAAAGGGCAATCCAACCAGAACTGGAGCTAACAGACGTGGATCACCGTCTCCTTTCACACACGTCACCTCAGTGGGTCCCCACGACTGAGGCATCGCACTTCCAGTCTACCTGTGGATTTTCCAAGGCCACGTGGGAAGGGAATGGTTTAGAGGGGCACCTGGGGTCTCGCCGTGCTGCGAGCCACAAGGCTCCTCGCCTGCCCCAGCATAACTGGGGCCTGAGAGCAGCTGCAGGTCCACGCTGCCCGGTGGTCCTCTGGCAGCTGCCCATGCAGGCCAGTAACCTCTCCGACAGCAGGCCTGCTCCCTTCCCTGGCAACTCCACCTGGGTAAAGGCGCCACACTTCTGCTGAATAACCTTAAATGCATTCACTGTGGGCTGCACCACTGCGGGGATGTGGGGTGTTCTAAATGAAGAGCAGAGGGACACGAAGAAGCGTGTAGGGTAGAGATGACGTAGGCCAAGCCCTTTCTCAGGATCCACGGGGTGCACCTCAACAGGCGGCCCCCTCAACAATGGGACCGAGATGACTCTGGGCCTGCAAGGACATCTCATCGCCTGTTGCCTCACACCCTCAAATCTCCATCATCTCCCCACTCCAGGTCTCAGCTGAGGACTCGGCCTTGTACTTCTTCGAGCACACAGGTTCAGACACCAACACCTCGTCTTCGCAACACCAAGTCCACCGCCCGCCTATGCCTGCTGCCCTCACATACTCAGCTGCTTCTCCAGTTACTGCCATTCCTATGTAAGACTGGCACCTTCATCCCTGTCCACTGAAGGGCTTTGCTCTTGAATTTCTTCTCCCTCTCCTGGGTCACTCCCACTGGGATAAGTCTTAGCATCATCACCCACCTCCACCTCCTTCCTGGACCCACCACGATCCCCATTCACTACCGCCCTTCGCAAAACTCCCTGGAGAGCTGGCTACCCCATCACACCTCCCATTCTCTCTTCGCCCCGTCCCACTCAGGTCCCTCCCCTCCCCCAGCGCTGCCCTGGTCCTGGATGTCTCCCGGCTGCCACAGGCCGTGCTTAACGCCTCGTCCTCACTGGACGCCCTCCTAATAAGAACACGTCTCTTCAGCCTCAAGGGACGCCGCGCTCTGCTGCTTTCCCGCTCTGCACCCTCGCTGGTCCTTCTCAGTCCCGTTTGCTAGACCCTCCTCCTGGAGCCCATCTGCATGCCTACCTTAGTCCCCTGAACACTTACTCCGCCTATATTCTCCGGCCAGGTTCTCACCTCCATCCCATAAGCCCGCATCTCCCTAGCTCTCTTTCGTCCTGACCTTTCCCCTCAGCTGCAGACATATAAGCATCTCAAACTGAACACGCTCAGGGCAAAAACTGCTGCCTCCCAACGACTCACCCTCCGGCCACCCTCTCTGTAAACAGCGCCCCCGTCCACCTGGCTGCCGAAGCCAAACATCTAGGAGCCCAGCCTGGACTTTTCTCACATCCCGAATCGCGTCCACACATCAAGTCATTCTTGCCACCTGTCAGCCCCCAAACCCGCCCCCAGTCTACCCCCTTCCCGCTGCCCCTCCTGCCCGCATCCCCCATCCTCTCCACAAGTCCCCTCGTGGCAGCCAAACTGACCTCTATAGCGAACAGAAGCCAGTTCTGAAAACCATCCAGACTCTTCACGCCGGCGAGTCCTGCGGTGACCAGCCCCTCCCTCCTCAGCCGCACCAGGCCCGCCGGTCCGCTCCTCGGTACCCCCCTCCGGCCACTCCACCGCCTGCAGCCGCCGGCCCCGGCCTCCCCCGCAGGCCTCCGCCGGCCGGACCCCTCGTCCTGGGGCCTCCCACGCTGCCTCCCCAGCCTGGACTCAGAGCCCCTAAGGCCGTCCCTCCCTCCCTCAGCCACACCCTCCTACCGGCACGCCCTCGCTGCCGCTTCGCCGTTCTCCGTAACAAGACATTTTTACCATTTTTCTCTTTGCAGACACCCCTCTTTCCCACCAGAAATGTCCGCGTAAGGACAGGAATTTTGTGTCTCTCCTTGCTCTGCTCCAAGTCCCAGCACAGGGGCTGGCACTCCTCGGGGACTCGATTGATTGCTGCATTAAATACTGAGTTAACGGAGGGAGGGAGGGGGGAGGGGAAGGCATGGACATGGCCTTAGCCGTGGACTCCCACCGGCCGGGCTGGGCCGTCCCGAGGGAGAGAGGAAGCCACCGCTGCCAGGCTCTGGGGGGCTCCCTGCTGAGGCGGGCCTGCGGCTACAGCTCTGGGGAGACAGCCCCCCGAGAGGTGGACGATTTACCCCTGAACTTCAGGGTGTGCTCTGGGGCCCCCTGGAGAGCCAAACTTCTCCAGTCGCTTCCCGAGGCTCTCCACAAGGTTCACACCCGGCGGAGCCTTCCAACCCAGTTTCACCTCAATACAGGTGACATGGGTTAGCAAAGGCAAACCCCTCCACCTTCCCGCCACCGGGGACCATATCCTCCAGAGGCCAGTCCAGGGAACTGGGTGGAGAGAGGGGCCGGGACTTGCTGGGAGCCTGCGGCGGGTGAGGGCTATTCCAGGCGGGGCCTCCACCCGCCCCGCCGTGTCTACCTGGGGATCCCGACCCACCGTCCGCAGGGAGCACTTGTACCCCTCCCCCAAGGCCTCCACTGCAGACAGCAGACCTGACGAAGAGCTTTCTCTGGGTGCCCTGTGGGTAGCGGGAGGGCAGGGCTGGCATCAGCTTCACCTGAGATGTGTCCCACCAGTTCCAGGTCCCAAGGCCAAATCTCTAAGCCTTCAACCTTCGACCGACAGGAGACAGGCGCCCTTCCCCGTGCTACGTCCTGGCCTCCCCTTCTCAGGGCCGCCCGGGGACAAGGCTGCAACCCAGGCCCCTGTGGCGTTAGTTTCCGTGGCTCCTCCAGGCTCGCTCAGCTCTAGACGATGGGGAAAAGCAGTCAGCGTGCTCCCCTTCTCTGTTGGCCGTGCGGCTCATGTAGCTGACTCCACTCCGCCCTTGTCACCGCAGAGTCTCTCCCAGCTCCTCGCACACAGAGCGCTTTGGAGCTCCCCCCCTCTCTGTCCTGCCCATGGTTTCGGCCTCTGCATATCACACCCTCAATTCTGCTTCCATCTCTCCCCAAGGAGGGGGACGGTGGGCCCACTCTGAGACGGGGGAGGCCATATTTCTCTCCTGTCTCCTGATACATCAGGATCATCAAGATACTTCCCCTCTCCCATTAGTAGAGGCTGCCATTTACCCTCTTACGTCTGGCTGTCCCTCGAATCTCCCTGTTCTTTTTAACAAATGGAATCAGACCAGTCCTCTTAAAAGAAGTCTCTGCAGCCCACGCCTTTTCTCAGAAGGCCACCAAAAGCGTCCACAGAGACCACTACCCTGTCAAGGGGCTACCTGGGCTGGAGTTTACCTCTCAGGCATCAAGTTGGGGGAATTCTGTTTTGGGGGGTGGCTACAGGAAAATGGCAGAGACGAGCTAGAGATGGCTGCTGCCCCAGGGCAGACTGGAATCCTTCATTCTTCTTTCTCCGTCTTTGTCGTGGGTACCAGTGGGCCCCCGGGGCCCCCAGAGAAGCCCGGAGGAGCTCAGAAAGGCTGCAGAGGGTGGGAGGTTCCCCCAGACAGCCACTAGATGTCCACTCACTGCACCAAGTCACCGGGCTCTGCCAGCCCAGGACCCACCAGCCTCTCCTTTCCACAGTGGGGGGACCCACCCACCCCATGCAGACTCTGGATGGTTCACAGCTGGTGGAACTTTCACCCTGTTCACCCACACCTTCCAGGAGTCTCTGACCTGCTCCGCTCTGCCGACCTGTGGTTGTGACAGAGCCTGACGCATTTCAGCTGCACCTCTTAGGAGCCTGTGCGGGGACACTGGAAACGGCACACCCGGACTGGGGGACGACTCCGTACCCACCCTGCGGCCTCCTTCAGAATTTCAGAGGCTTCCTAGCAGCAGCTATTCCCCAGGAAGGACACTGAGCCCACAGGCCCCCCATCTTCCTAACGAGGCACACGAGGCCCCATCGGTCACTCACCTCTGAGCCGCTGTCCGCACCCCACCCAGGCCCACATGCTTGTTCCATCTGCCTGTTAAAGCCAGGGCTCTTGCCAAAAATAAACGCCGTCATCATCTTAGAAAACAAAACAATGTCTCAGGCGATCTTGATTAGAGGCTCTAACAGTCTGGCGTTGATGACTAGACAAGAATCTGTGTCATGAAGCACCTATTCACTGTAAGCAGGAAATTCTGATTCAAAGTCGTTCATGTACTTGAAATCCACCACAGACTCCTGATACTTCAGAACAGTCAACCCAGGCCCCTCAACTCGGGTTTCCGGCTGTCCTGCGGGCAGCGCTGGAGCCCGGCTGCTGGCCCCTCGTTCAGAACTCCCCCCGGGTACCTTTCCACAATCTTCCTCTGTCTGATTTGTAGCATTAACTTGCCTGGCCCCCTGCCCTGGGCCAGACCAACAGTAACGGCAGGCGTGGCTCCCGAAGCCCAGCCGGCCCCCGACCTCCCCACGTGAGGGAAGAACAGAGAGCAGATACTTACAGAGGGTTCCCTACTTCTGCTCATCAATGAATGAGGAAAATCGAGATCCCAGACAAGGCAACGCGCAGGAGGCTGTAATTACTGCCGCCTATTTAGCTGACACTCCCACCAAGCGGGGGACTGCAGAGTGCGACAACCATGCCCCCTGACGGCGGGGAGGGGGCCCTCATGGGTGACAGGCTAGGGGACCGGGGTGCTGCCTCAGCTCTTTGCAATAGCGCCCCCTGTCTTGCTCTGCCGGTCTGTCTCTCCTCAACCTCCACAGCCAATTCATCCCCGAGCCCTGCCCATGTTATAAATATTGCCCACCCTTCCTCCATTCCCCCATATCTCCCCCTCCCCGACGCAGGCCACCACCCCAAGAGCTCCCCAGAGACCTCTCCCCTCCCTGAGGCCTCTCCGCTCTGTTCTCTACCTTGATGGCCACAAGTCTCTTTTAAAAACATCCATCATGTCACCTCGTCTGTTTAAACATTGAGCAAAACATCCAAAATCCCACGCTTGACCTAACGTGCTGATTGGTCCGCCCTCGCCCACTCGTCGGGGCCCCTCATATCCTCCCTTCCTAACTCTCCCCTTGCAGATGCCCCAGGCTCCCTCCCAACTCGACTCCCTCTGCCTGAGGAGTGCCTGTCCCCGTCTTTCCGCCTGTCGGTGGAACAGTTTTCACTTAAACCACCCACTTCTCTTTGTAATGACCCCTCTCCCTGGGTCAAGACTGGGACAGAAGTACTGCTTATGCAGGTGGATGGTTTTGTATGTGAAAATGATGACATCAGGAGTTATTTCATTAGAAAACACATACTTCTCATCAGGGCCTTCTCTTACACCACACAAAATGGCGGGACGTTAGAACGAGTGAAGCCTAAATAGAAACAGCATCTGGAACGCCTATAAGGCGTTCGGTGAAGTCACCGGTCGAGGGAGGGGCACCCACTGTTCTGAGAAGAAGGGGGTCAAGCCCCGTGGTCATGGGTAGAGAGGGGACAGGGCCTCCTGCCTGGCGGCCTGGGAGGAAGGCGTGACTGCTGGGTCCACATTCAGGCTCCCGGCCCAGTGTCTCGGCTGCAGTCACCTGAATACAGAAAGTGCTGATATCTGTAAGTCAGAGGGGCTCTCTGACTTATGGGGTCAACTCAGGGCAGACAGAGGAGCGCCTGCCGGGTACTCACCACCTGGAGCCCCGAAAACTGTGCTGACTGGTGCAGCTTCCCCCAGGCCGGCCTTCCCGTCCCTCGTGTGCAAGGTAAAGAGACTTCGAAAGGAAGGAACAGAACACGTCGCTGGAGATTCAAGGTCCAGCCAGACCTCTGCTCTGTTCAGGCCTAAAGGGTGCAGGCAGAGCTGTGCCCCTCAGAGCAACAGAAAAGAACCTGGAAGGTGGCTGGAGAACCCACACCCGAACTCCTGGTTACTGCTCTCAGCCCAAGGCCGCCTGTGCTCTCATTCCTAAAATAGGAGGATTCCACAGCCAAAGGAGGCGTTTTCTTTTCCAGCTTAAAAAACACCAGGCCACAAAAATCACACGGAGTGAACACTTCTCCCCCAGTCCTGGAAGCATCACTTTGACCTCCTGCCTGCCTGCCCCACCGTGCAGAAGTCCAGCTCCACACACGGCAGGGCATCAGCACAGGATCAGGAGTCCAAGTCCACACCGTGTCACCAAGCTCGTCACTTGGGAGGGAAGGGGCCTCTGACCGCCATCCACCCCGTCCTCAATGGATAACAGCTACCCACACATGACTGCGCCCACGTATTGCACATAGGAGAGAACCCTGAGAATCTGAGGAGGAGGGAGCAGTGCTTTCCTTTAAAAAGAAATCATGGGAATTCCCTGGAGGTCCAGTGCTTAGGATGTAGCACTTTCACTGCCGGGATCCGGGTTCAATCCCTAGTTCGGGAAATAAGATCTCACAGGCTGTGCGGTGCAGTGGGGGGGGGGGGGGGGGGGGAAAAAGAAAAAAGAAAAAGGAGGGGAGGGAGGGAGGGAGGGAGAGAAAGAAAATCCTAACGATCTCTGCTCTACTTTGTGCAGGCACATCCACCGGCCCACCAGCTTTTACCCTTGGACCTCCCACCCCAGGGCACAGGGGCTCAGGCCGCTACTCCCGACCCCCAGAAACTTCACACGCTCCAGGATAAAGAAAAAGAGGACAGGCAGGCAGTAGCGTCCATCATGTTTCTAGTTTGCATGCCAGCACTAGTTTGCAAAAAAACGGAAACGTGCGTTTTCTACTTTCACACATCCTTCTCTGTCAGCCCAGAGGCCACGCGGGAAGCTCCTCCTGGCCCACAGGACGCAGAGGGACACCTCCGCCTGGTTTGGGTCTTGAGCAGAGAACACATGGCTCATTTCCCTGGCAAAGCCCTGGTCACTGCAACTTGAACTCCCAGGTAAGCGTTTCACTAGCTGGAGGGGGAAATGGGCGTGGAGCGTTCACCAAGGAAACCTGCACAGAATCCAGGGAAAACATTTACTTTTTATTTGGAGCAATGCACATCAAATGCAAGGCTCTGGGAAGCCCTTTGTGCTCCATGATTAAGAGCCTGGGGAGCCCTGAGCCACCCTGGTAGGAGGTGCCGGTGGAGGTGATTCAAGAAGAGTGTATTCAATTCCTAGGGCACAAGACATCTGCCCTGACAGGAAACCCTGAGAATCACTAAACAGCCTGGGTGGAGGGGAGGGCAGTGAGGAACAGATTCCGAATTGTTGAGCTCTTCTGCGAGACGAGCAGCGAAACGTGACTCAAACAGCACCTCCCCTCAATGTGAGCTCAGCCCCTAGACACACTGGCCTTACTCACCATCGGTTATGAGGGCTCTGCTGGTCAGAACCTTCCCCAGCATGAACTTCAGCACAGCCAGGATGCTGCAAAGGATCCCACTTAAAATGGAGACGCTGAACAGGAAATCATCCTAGAAGAGAAAGTTCCAGATTTCAACAGTTCAGCTCAGGTGAGAGCAGATTGCAAGCCACTGGCCTTTGTTCCCAGAACAAATCATCACTGGTGTACGCTGCCACCAGGTGGGGGTATATTGCTTGTTTTTATACCTCAGTTACCTGTGTCGCCGGGAATCAAAAAGATGATCAAAAACGAATAATCCAAACTTACATTTCCTTAGAAACCGATTACATACTTCTTTTCCTGTAGGAGATTCCCCTTCCCGCTATTCTGCCAAAATGGTGGCAATCACCGATCAATAACAGAGTTGGTCAAATGCTAAACACAGTGACTTCTGTGTCGAGTTTTCCATGGAGAAGTCAAAAAGCAGCTGACTGCGAAGTCTGGAACGTGTAAGTGCACCACTGGCCTAAGAGCAGAGCCGGCTGAACTTGCCACGGGGTCCATCGTGGCTGGAGCTACTTACAACCATATTTTTTCCTTAACCTCACGCAAGCAACTGGAAGTTCATCTATAGCCTTCAAGGTGGGAAAAGGTATCTAAAAATAAAGTCTGCTATTGATGTTATCTTAGCACTTCCTATAAGTCGTTAGCTTACCTCTGCAAGCAAAGGCATGCGTCCCATATGCAAAAGCGAGTAGCCGTATATCTAGCCCATAGGGCCTCTCAGCTTCGGGCTCCCAGGCATCACTCCCATGAAACACAGCCTCCAGAGTCCCCACTATTAAAATGCCACTGCCAGCAAAAATCTCATAAAGCATCACATACACTCAGAGAAATAGGATTCCTTACGCTGTTGATTAATCAAATAACAGAACGCTGGTAAGAGGGAAGACAGCCTGTTTCCCCGGGTTCAACACTCAGCAAAGTGACCTGAAAAATCACCTTGCTGGAAACAGGGTATCTGCAAAACATCAAAGCATCTCCCCCAAGGGAACTAAGATCCCACATGCCACACGGTGCAGCAAAAACACAAAAACGAAAAGCACCTCCTCCACAGCACTGATCAACGGTGGTTGGTTTTAACAGCTGTCCACAAATCCTGTGCTACTCCCTCCCCAAAAGGCCCAGCTTAATTCCCTCCTCCACCGAGCGTCGACTGGACTCATGCCTCGTGGCTAACAAACAGAATACAGAAAAGAGGAAAGCAGTGACTTTACAGGGGGGAGACCCAGTAAGTGATCAAGACGAGCATGACCATGCATAAGTGATGCTGCTGTCATGTGCCTGCAGACGGCATGGGACGTGAAGAAGAAGGCCTCTGGGTGTTCTGCCCCGAACCCATAACCTCAGTTGAATCGTGAAAAACCATCACACAAACCCATGCTGAGGACAGTCTACAAAACACCTGAGCACTACTTCTCACACACGTCAAGGTCATGAAATTTCAAGGTCGTGAAAGACAAGGAACCACCGAGAAATTGTCACAGATTGGAGGCTAAGGAGATGTGAGGACGAAATGCCACAGAAACAGAAAAGGTCATTACATGGGAAAGCCGGAGAAATCAGCGCAGAGGCTGGAGTTGTGTTAGTACTGTTGTCATTCCCTAGTTTAGGTAATGGTACCCTGGTTATCTGCGTGAGACGTTAACCTTACGGGAGGCTGGAGGAAGGGAATATGGGGCCCCTCTGTAATGTCTTTGTAACGGACGTATAAATCTGAAATTATTTCCAATTTTGAAGTTTTTAAAAACAATCACCTCACTGAAGTTTCACTTCCTCAAATGACCAGTAAGGACTGTGCCAGACCTGGCCTCGGGACGGATCCCCAGTCCCTGCTGGTGCATGAAGTTAATGCACCAGGGGCCACGGGGGCGGGCGGCGGGGAAGGACCCCCAAATCCAAGCTCTCTTCGTGCAGAAACTCAGTCTAATTATGGGAGAGGGTGCCCATAAGAAAAAAAGGCAAACATGATTAAGGAATCAAGTACCAACATAGACCCAGATGCAGATAAGATTCAAAAAGCCTAAGTTGGTGGCACTTCCCTGGTGGCGCAGTGGCTAAGATTCCACGCTCCCAATGCAGGGGGCCTGGGTTCAATCCCTGGTCAGGGAACTAGATCCCACAAACATGCCGCAACTAAGAGTCCGCATGCCGCAACTTAGGAGTCTGCCTGCAGCAACTAAGAACTGGTGCAACCAAATTAATTAATTTTTTTTAAATAAAAAGCCTAAGTTGGGAGACTGAGGCAGTCCATTAAATACTGTGAGGCCCCAGATTGAGAAGGTGAATTCTCACTTTGCTCACCCCATGCCTAAAGCCTTTCTGGCTTCCCCCGATCTGTTGGCAAAGCCCTCATCCCTACATGTTCAGAGATAGAGAAAGGCTGTGTTCACCCCATCCAGGTCCCAGGGAGCTGGGGGTTGAGGTTCCACTCCCACCCCCAGATGCACCTTGAGAGGAGCCAGCATGGCTTTGCTGGTCCTCCCCTGGGTCTGCTAACCGGGGAGCAAACTGCTGAACGGGGGCTTGGCTGACAAAGGGCAGTGACCCGCCAGCAGATCTTTGCTCAAATCTAGACTTCATTGCTTACTAGGGAAACAAACCCAAGCTCTCAAATCTCAATTCTCTCTTCCATAAAGAGCAGTGTGATACCCACAGCCTCCGGCAGGCAGCGGATGTGCGATAAATTGTAGCAACTGTTATTAAAGGCCCCAAACGCAGTACCCACACACTCACTTATTGCACCAAACAGCCACGCTAGGTGCTAATGGTGAGCCCCAAAGTATGGTAAGCATCGCTATAAAAGAAACCATAGGGAATTTACTACCTAGAAAGAAGCACACATGGTGCAATGTAAAAAAACGTAAGAGAAACTATGATTGGGGTCCACAGTGGCTTATCAAGGGCGAAGCGGTGTTTGGAACCCATCCTTCACCTTAGAGAAGCCTCCCATGGACTGGAATCCCGGAGGAACGGGAGATGGGGTTTCTGATGTAATCAATGTAACAGAAGCATTGTATGATAGTTAAAGGCACCGGAGCAGAAGCCTCACTTAATAACTGTGTGACTCTGGGCAAGTCACAGAACCTCCCCCCATCTCCTCCTCCGTTCACGCATCTGTAAAATGCAAAAAAAGAAGAGACCTGCCACCCCTGGTAGCTGTGTAGTGTATCCACAGGGATCAGCAGGAACTATGTTTCCTGGAATTCCCTTGCTAGGTGTTTCCAAGTCACACTCGGCCACCAGAGACACCTGTGTGAGATTCAGAAGGTGGAGGTGAAGTGGCAGCCCCTCGTCCCTGAAGGCAGGTACAGGGCACCAGGTGCTGTCGTGCACGTGTTGTTGATCCACTGGGTCGGCCTGGGGGTGGGGTAGAAGCCAGGCCCTCAGCTCTGCCAGCTCCCACTGGATCCCCTCCTCCAGCTTCTCTGAGTCCTGAGCCAGACATGTGTGCAGCTTCATGACACAGGCTTCTTCTGCAGGTCACCCCTGTCACCGAGGCTGAGACCGTGAGGGGCAGATGTGGATTCAGGCCACTTTCAGGGTCCCAAGTTTTCCTGCAGTGCTTCCCTCCTGCCAGGGAGCCCTGCTGAGTTCAGGCCCAGATTCCGGAGCAGCAGCTCCCGTCATCCTGCACGGCCCCATCCCTGCAACAATGCCCTGTCCTCACCACTTAGAGAGGTTCCGCTACGCTGCTCGAGCCTCACATACTCCTCCGTAAGGATGTTCCAAAGTGCTCCAAAGGTGCCTGGCACAGAGTAAATGATATGTTTAAATATGCAGAAGCCAACATGCAAAACTCAGGTTTTTTCTATCTGTGGATTATTCCTAGCAACCACAGTCTGCTCCCAGGATCAGCTCTGAAGGAACATTTGCCTTCCCCAAGTCTGGAAAAACAGAGACTGTGGCCACCTTGAAGCCTCATCCAGGCTTTGCTCACCATTGCTGTGCTGATCTGCTTCAGAAAAAATAAACCCTGAAGAAGGACCCACGGAGGACCTGGGCTGGCACAGACCTGCCAACGCCCTTGCCCAAAAACAGCTTTCAACATCCTAGAACTCTGCTGTGATTTTCCCACCCAGAGCCCACCTGGCTCTCCTCTCTCCACACACCCGCCACATCTACTGTTAGCATGTGCATAACGTCACAGAGAAGTAGTCATCAGCCTGCTCAAGACATCAGTCTTTGCTATGGACTGTTTGTGCCCTCCCCAAATGCACTATGTTGAATTCCTAACCCTCACTGTGATGGTATTTAGAGATGGAGATGAGGGAGGGGGCCCTCATGGTGGTATTAGTGCCCTTATAATGAGAGGAATAGATTTCTCTCTCTCTCTCTCTCTCCACCTACACACATTGAGGAAAGGTCAGGTGAGGTCACGGTGAGAAGGCAGCTGTCTGACCCAAGGACAGATCCCTCACCAACACTGACTCTGCTGGCACCTTGATCTTGGAGTTGCATTCTCCAGAAACATGACAAATAAAAGCCACCCAGTCTATGGTATTTTGTTATGGCATCCTGAGCTAAGACAGTCCTGAGTCACAAGGAGCTTCTGAGAGGATTCCTTCCCGAGAGTCAGGAAGACAGAGCAGACCTGGCTGAGGATGAGAAATTGCAACCCGAGTAGGTTTGCACCACCGGTAGCTTCTCTCAAAGTGCAGCCACACCTGTCATGTCCCACATAATCCTCATAGCCCAGTCAAGCAGACATCTGAAAGGTGTAGAAACAGATGCAGAGAGGTTAAATGACTTGCCCAGGGTCACTCAGCTAATGGCAGGACCTAGATTTGTTCCTGGCTGTAATCTGTACCAAGATGCCTCAACCATGGCCTCCTAAACAGCTCTAACATTGCTGAATGTGAACCCTGTAAAAACAGAGGGACAGGCATTTCCTCCTTAGGTATTCTGTTTCCACTGTTACCTATGCTGGGCCCCTGTGATTTCTCACAACTTGATCTTTATTGAATGGATAGAAGATCAGGGCAAAAAGGTTAAGACAACTAGCCACTCACTCAGAAGCCCAGGATAACTGCATATTAAACTGCATATTAAAGGTAAATGCTTCCGTAA